TTTTTTATAGTTACTGGCTACGATTGTTTGCATCTGCTTAGATTACTTTCATACTCCTAGATTTGCTCCTAGGTTTAGGGAACATTTTTCCTATGGAAAATGACATTTAACTGTGGAGTATTATTTTTTAACATGCTAGCACACATCCATTGCCCTGGATTGTAGGAGTTGTGGTAGGAAGTGCTTGCCCTCCTGTGTAGTGCTGATTTCTCATGCACATTGCATGGCAGCTCCGGGGTAACCTGCCCCCAGTTCACAGGTTGTGTGTCCTTGGAGATAGTCAGTAGGACTGATTCATGTTGAGCAAAGGCCAGCAGCTGTCCCTGAAATGAGAAGGGGAGCCCTGGGGTGCCTTGCACTGACTCACATTAAGGTGTCTCTGTGCTGGTTGCAGCTTTTGTTCCCTGCCCCTGTGTGGACATCAGGTTTCACGCTGCAGTTTCTGCCCGTGGAATCTTAAAGTCAAATCAACCAGGTGCATCTGAGTCTTTTGACAATGAATTACATAAACTAGTGTCTACTTCACCAAAAAGTCCTTCCCCAGAGTTTCTTTTGGCACTGTTTCCCAAGTTCTCTGAGCAGCTGCACTGTGGAGCCCAGCCCCAGTGTCAGTGGAGCTGCAAGCTGTGTGCTAGTACCAAGCCTGTCACAGCTTCACCAGCCCACACAAACCTGCTGTGTGCTGAAGTGACAGCAAACTGCTGGGGCTGCAGGAGGCCTGGATGCAGGTAGAAACCCCCTTGGATAATATCACCTGATATTTCCTGCCAGCACAGTTACTTTAAATTTTTTCCAGTTTTAGGAATTCAGGCTACCTGCAGGCTTTGTTCTCTCTAATGTTCCTGAACTAAAAAGTGCTGAGCTCTTTTATATTCAAGAATCCAAGGTAGATATTCTGAAGCCTGCTAGATAATGCATGTTATCTGTGCTGGCCCATCTTCATTGGATTTGTGCTTCACTGTCAAATCTCTGAGTTGCAGAGGAAGGTCCTGCTCCTGAGTGTGTAACACCTTCAGTGTCATTTTATTTCTGTGCTTCTGTACCTGTTCTTACCTTGTGACCCTTCTCGTTTCCATCTTTTGAATTGCCTTTTGTCAAGTTTGTCTTATTCAAGCCTTCAGAGTCTTTCTTTTGCTGACTTGCTGAGGTCAAGGGCTGAATAGTCTCAAGTTTTCATGAGCTGAAGGAAGAGGGGGAGGTGAGCATGTTGCATCTGTCCCAGGTCACGTTTGGTTTGTTAATTCCTTCTCAAAGGCCACAGTTTTGTCAAGAGTGAATCAGTGAAAACCAGGCTTTTCTGTGTGCTGTTTGACAGCACCATGCAGACAAAAGAGTTCTTTGGGAGGTTGATCTGTGCCTCTGACTCCCGCACTGGTTGGACTGTAATTTCTGTCATGGATTAGTGTCACGTTGCTCTGTCTCAGAGTCATCTCCCCTCAGCGCAGCTCACTGTCAGGTATTGGGTCTGAGTGCATCATGGGTTTTTAATACACTTTCTCTCTTAAGAAGCTAAGAAACCAAGGCTTACAAAAAATTGCAAAAAGAAAAAAAAAGTTTGTAAATCTGTGTGTCTGGTTTATGTACAGGTCCGGGAAAAGTATTTGTGCAACTTTCTTAAGAAAGATTGCAATGGAAAGGGGAAGACTGAATAACAAAAAAAAACCCCACATGCTGAAGTAATTAAACTCAAGAATTGCAAAAAGCTTACTGTGTTTCTTGTACATTCTTTGTGTGTGTTCCTGTTTGTGCCAATGTTTCCCAAACCTGTTTACTGATTTCTCCAGAATTAAGACCTTTCATGCTCCTGGGGCGTGGTCTCATGATGCAGCTGCTGCTGGTTCAGGACTGACTAGGGTGATGAGGAAAGCCTAGTGTCTGTTTCCAGAGCGTGGGAGAACAGCACCTGGGACTGGTTTTTCAAAAGGGTTGATGTGAAAGCTCAAAATACCGTGTGTGCTGAAAAATACACCAGATGTAGGGCACACCTGCACATGTTCTCCACAGACCCCAATAGGAAAGGCTCTCAGCTCCATAAGGTATGGATTAAAATATTCACTGGAGATAATAGGAGGAAATGGAACAGCCCAGATCATCTGTAGCATCAGGCAGACCCCAGATCTGGCACCCCTGTGCAGACTGCCCAGGGTAACTGGCACTGGCACCACAGGCATTACAGTTTTTGTGGGATTTTCCTTGAAGTAAGGAACTGTTGATCATTTCCACTGCCAAGAAAAAGGATCTTTATACAGAACATGCTGCTCTTCAGGATAAGGACAAGGACAGGGCATGTGGAGCTATGGAGAGACTCCTCTGCCATGACAGGCTGGCTTTGCCTGCAGCACAGTGCAGCTGCTGCTGCCCAGCCTGTGCCCGAGGGCCAGTGGCCAGGCACTGAGCAGCCCCATGTGCCAGCCGGGGTGGGGACACTGCCCCACTGCAGCCCGAGGTCACCCGTTTGTCACCCGTGACCGCAGGGGCCTCGCTGTAGCAGCAGCTTCCTTCCTTCTCCAGCATCAGTGCACATGGCTGCTGCCTGGCTCCTGGGCTTTATCTCTGTGTCTGGGGAGGAAAGATTGCTCTCCCTTATCATTCACGTGCTGGGAATCCACAGAACACTCCCGGGCGTGGCGAGTGTAGACTGGGAAAGTGCCAAGTTCCTCTTGCATGCTCCTTTCAGATCTACTTTTGCACTGTTCCAGCCCAGCCCTCCCCACACCGACCGTGGGAGCCTTGCCATCAGTTCGTATCTCCTGTGTGCTTGCTAACAGCTTTCCAGAATACAAGAAAAACTGATTTTGCTCTGTCTCTTCTGGGCTGTGTGATGCCACCTCATCCATCCACGCTCAGAATGTTTTGCTGTCTCCTAAAGCAAGATTCTTGTTTTGAAAAGCAGCATCATGGTATCAAAGATGCCCAAAGCAGAAGCAAGGGGTTGCTGCCACAGTCACCTTAGGTACAGGTGCCCGGTGCTGCATTTTAAAAAGGATAAAACTTTCCTGCCACTGTTCCCCCCAACCAACAGGGTAAATGTAAATACATGAAAAAATACCTACACATCTGTTTTAGTCACACAGTTTGAGTTTCAACTTCCTGGTTGGTCCAGATCCTGCTAGTGATACATTCCTGTTGTGTTTTCACCCCAGCCAGCAATCAGGCACCACACAGCCACTTGCTCACTCTCCCACCAGTGGGATTGTGGAGAGAATTGGAAAGGTAAAAGCTGAAAAACTCTTGGGTTGAGATAAAGACAGATTAATAGTGAAAGTGAAAGCTGGCATACAAGCAAGGAAAAACAAAGGATTTACTCCCTGCTTCCCAGGGCAGACAGGTGTTCAGACACCTCCAGGACAGCAGAGCCCCATCATGTGTAATGGTGACTTGGGAAGACAAACACCATCACTCCAAATGTCCCCCCTCCTTCTTCCCCCCAGCTTTCTGTACTGAGTGTGGTGTCATGGGCAGGGTTAGTTGGGGTCACCTGTCCTGGCTGTGTCCCCTCCCCATCTCCCCTGTACCCCCAGCCCCCTCACCAGCGAGGCCATACAAAAAGCAGAAAAGGCCTTGGCTCTAACACTGATCAGCAATAACAAAAACATCTCTGTATTGTCAGCCTATGCAAAACATAACCCCCTATTAGCCACTGTGAAGACAATTGATTCTACCCCAGCCAAACCACTGTCTTTGACTTAGTTCAAGACAATGCAGGCTTCTACCCTCCTCCAGAAAGCTCTGTCCCCTGCAAAGGAGTTCCAACGATTTGACCTTACCGTGGTCTTTTCCTTCCTTAACCAAGAAGTACATGAACACTGCAGCCCACAGCAGCTTTTCCTGCTTCTCCCTGTCCCAGGGGCTGCAGGCTGGAGTGGCATCTCATGGGAGATTTCTGGTGGAGGAATACAGGGCCACAAGGGAGGATCCCACTGTGCCTCTGCAGACCCAAACCACGTCTCACTAGCACTGCAGGAGGGCCGTGTCCACACCAGGGGCTGGGATTTGGTTGGCTGCATTGAATTAGTCTGATTACTTGTATTTGAGGACAGGGTGTTGAATTTGGGTGTAACAACAGCAAAGGCTCATTTCAGTTCAGCTGAATGCAAGGAAGCAGAAGAGATTGTTTTACTGGAGCAGAAGAAAAATTGAGAGCTGTAGAAAACAGTAAAAGACAGTAAAACCCTCAAATGAGATATTTCAGTAGAAAACAGATACTTCTCTTAGGGCTAGTGCTCAATTACTGAATTATAGAGATTAACTATAACATTTAATGAATAGTAATATATCATTACAGTAAAGAAACCATGATTTCATGGTCTCAAAGATTTTCTGCTGTGACAAGTTCCTCTTTTTCTCTCTAGGCATTTCCATCTTCACCTGTTCCCAAGTAGTCTGAAGGGATGTATGGCCCCAATCAGGGCTTGTAATTGAAAACAATTAACCAATTAAACCAAGCAGCTAAATTGCTGTGAGAAGGGAGGATCCGTCCGTGAGATGCAGTGGGATTGGTGGCTCAGATGCCTGCAGCTCTTGGGAAATTTTTGGCTTTAGATTTGTATACCTGAATTCATCCTCTTCTAAATGTGGTAGAGTGATATAGAATATTCCAGCTGGAAGAGGCCTATGACAATCATCTGTCTTGTACTGGTAATGTAAAGATTTAAGGGGTTTCATGAACCTTAACTTAAAGCATAGTGGTGGGTGTCTCACAGAAGCTGGTGAGAAAGTCAATTGTGAGGACCTAGATAGTTCAGCTCCTTATGAGTTCTCTCTCAGACCTCTGTGTGTGTAATTCTGTGTTAAAGCTTATTTGTTAGCAAGCAACACAAGGAGGAAAAGAGGAAGAAATGGTTGCCTAGGACTCAAAAGAAATAAAGGAAAAAAATTAAAAAACAGAAGGGGGAAAAACATACTCAGCAGAAGCTACAAAATAACGTAGAAGTAACTTTTGCCCTTTCCTCTTTGCACCCTTCCTTAGCATTTCCGCTCTGCCCACGCCTCTGGTGGTCACTGAGACACTTGTTTTCTGATAAAGAGGAAGGAAAAGCCACCAGCCGTTGTCCCGGATGCTCGGTGACAGAGTGAGCCCAGGCAGGGAAGTGTTCCTGATTTACCCCAGCCTGGGAAAAGCAGGTCGCTCTGGCTGGAGAGGGAGCAGCTGTGAAGGAAGGATGGGAATGATGCTGCGAGCAGCTGTGCTCCTGAGTTCCCTTCTCCACTGCAGCGGTGAGTCTGGGCTGGGCACGGGCCCTGCCCTGTGTGTGCTTGGCAGGGGCAGCTCTGTTTTGGGACGAGCTTAGATTCAGTCCTCAGAGTGAGAGAAATGTGCTGGGACAAAGGCAATGGTCTGCATTTTTACAGGAAAAAGAGTTTTGAGTTTCTTTAGCCAGTGGTTTAAGTTTCTCGTGCTTGGCTTAGGCTGGGAGAATGGTGTGTTTCAGAAACACAAATAGGCAGTGGAGGAGGGAAGTCTTTGCTTTTCCTCAGATGCCCCAGAGGTGATGTCTGGAGCAGACATTGGCTGAGACCAGGGAGCTGCAACTTGGACTTTAGACCAACTCCTTCCTCAAACCTAAGATACCCAATAACTCTGACCCTGTGCTCTACTCAGTGCTGGTGGTGGCAGGAAAGCGCCAGGCTGCACCCATGGCAGAAGTCAGTGCCCTGGCCATCAGCCACCTCCCATCCTCACGCCACACGGATTTTTGGTTAACCCACCCCTGAGCAGCCCAACCCTCACACTCCCCAGTGCCTGCTTGTGTTTCTCATCTGGTGGGTTCTCTTTGCCAATGCTCTTGCCATGACTTCACCACCTGGGAGCTGCCTTCACCCTGGCTGCTATGTGGGTTAATTTTCATCTTCCTTTCTTCCTGCAGCTTTTCTGGACCTGAGTGGCCCCAGTGAGATCAAAGGGGTCTGGAAGGACTCTGTCACTCTGCCTTGTGCCTATGTGCCTGTGGAGGACCTCGTGCAGCAAACTCTCACCTGGACTGTGGTACATGACGAGGGTTCAGGCACCATCTTCCGGAGGGATGACTCCGGGGACCATGTCCTCCTGGCTGAGTACAGGGACAGAGTCAGCATCCCAAAGGATGCCCCAGGAAATGTGTCTCTTCTCATCCTGAGCCTGGAAATCTCTGACAGAGGAACCTATACTTGCCAGGTCACCTGGAGAGACAGCAACAACAGCCTGATAGCAAAGGAGATCACCACCAGTTTGGAGGTTGTTAAAGGTAAATCCAAGGAGGAGAATGTTCAGGAGGGAAAGGCTTGGCTCAGGAAGGCTTTTGGGAATTAGAGCAGGTAGGCAGTGACTGTGTGTTTCCATGCAGAAGCATTTTGCTGATCAGTATCAGCCTCCAATAAGAAACAGCAAATAGGTCAGAGAGAAATTCTGCCCAGGACACAGCACCCTGCAGCTCGGGGAGGACTGTGGCTCCTCCAGGACCAGCTCAGCCCCGGCTCTGTCTGTAGCCAGTGGCTCAATGTTTCCCAGTGGCATGCAGCAGTGGGAAGTCCCAGGGATACTGTATTGCTGTTCTTTGACTAAATTTCACCAGCATGTTCTTGCCGTCCCTCTGCCCATGTTGGGGGTTTATAGAGGCACAGAGACTGCAGGACACCTGTGTGGCACAGCTGTGGCCTTGCAGAGGAATGTGGGAACCACGGGGGGACACCACTCAACCACAGGTCAGGGTGGGAGCAGTGACAGCTGATGGCAAGGGTGGGGTGTTGGGGCAGTGTGTCACCAGTGCCTGGAAGTGGTTTTATTGCTGGGGTACAAAGTCTTGGCATTACTGAACTTGAGTCCATGTGCTTCAGTGTTTAACTCATATGTTTCTGAAAGTAGTTTTTCCTTCCCTCAGTTTCCAGTCCACAGTGGCCTTATATATTGTCTTTGTAGGAGAGACTGTAAGTGTCTTAGGGCTGCTGAAAATGCCTTTTCCTAAGTTGCAGATCATATGGGATGGGATGTTCTGGGTTTTGTTCTTTTCTAAAGGGTTTTTTTTGCTTGTTATCTGATCCTGAATGAGAGCTGCTGAAGGCAGGCAGATCTTGTGTCTCCAGTGGCAGACAAGGGATGCAAAAGCTTCCTCAGCCCCAGCTGAAAACATGTACTTGACCAGGGACAGCAGTTTTGAGGGCTTGTGGTTTCACATTTGTTTTTGTGGGATGTGGGACTTTTTGCCTGGACTAAAGCAGATCTGCTTGTGGGAACTTTCTATGGCTGGATTATGTTTACCTTGGATTTTTGGTGCCCCAGCAACCACGTGGGGATTGTGGAAGCTGGTGTCAGTCACTGGAAGCCGAGGGAAGGTGTTGACAGGTGTTGATTTTTCTTGCAGAAAAACCTCAAACAGAGCTGGTGCCTGCAGGTACCTCAGGAATCTCCTGGACTCCATGGGACCCCACCACTCCTGCAGGTGTGTGTGTACAGACATGCAAATGCACACAGGTACCTGGTGCGTGTCTATGCAGTTTGGTTATACATAAAAATGTATATATACTATATATGGTATCCATCCAGTGACACTATGGTTCTACTGTAGTAGTATATATACTATATATATATAGTGTGTATATATATATATTCTATATAGTACACTGTATACATAGTGCATTTCTGCAGTTTGCCTGTTTTCACTGCCCTGTAAAGGGGCTGCAGGCATTCTCTTCTGATCCTACAGCTCGAATCCCAGATCTCCTGGTGCTAAGGTCAGGGCTGGAAATGCACTGTCAGACTTTAACTCATGTTTGTTTTCCAGATCTGCCCATAACAGTAACAACTTCTGAGAGTGGTGTGGGATATCCAGGGAAGAATGAAACGATTCGTGGTAAGTAAGAGCAAAACCAAGCTGAGAAGAAGATTAAGGACCCAAACCAGATGCTCTGTATTCAAAATTAGTATTCTGCCTTTTTAACTACAAATTGCATTAACAGCTGTTCTCAAAGTACCCAGATAATTTCATGGTGACTCTTTAAAAGGCTCTGGATGTTTTTATGGAAGAATTTTAAAAAATGTTGACATATGGGGCACACAGAGTTGTTGCTGTGTTCCTGAGCAGTCATTCCATTTTTTATCTTGGACTGTCAAAGCTGAAACAGCAGGAAAGTCTCAATGTGTGCCTTGAGCAGATCTACACAGCGTCCAGCTTTGCATCGTGACAGGTTTAGACTTTCCAAACAGAACTGAGCAGCATCTTTGAATGGAAAGCTTTATTTCATGATATGCAGTGCAATTATCCTGCCTAGCTCACATCCCTAGTCACCTCAGCATGAGAAGGACACTGTCTGTACAGCTGTGGTCCCTTGGAGAGGTGTACACAGTGCTGGGTCACACAACACCCACCCAGAGCCACAGGAGCAAGGCTGTGTGGGGACACAGCCCCATGTGCTCAGGCAGGGCTGGCTGTTGCTGGCCTTGGGGACATGGTAAATGTCATGTCCCTGCTGCTGCTGTCACCCAGGAGGGCTCCCCTGTCTGAAATTCCTCTGTTGTATTGCTTTAGATTTCCAGAGGACTGGCTTGTCCCTGTACCTGGTCGTCCTGATTGCTGTGCTGTGTGGTGCTGTGGTTTTCCTTGTCATCTCTCTTATCACATGCATGAGGAAGCCCAGAGACAGTGAGTAGAATGTTCTGGAAAACCGGAATGTTTTACTCATGCCCAGCATGGCTTTACCTTTGATGGGTTTGGGGTCTGGAGCAGAGCTTGCAGCCACCAGCTGCAGCTCTGGCACGTCTGGCATCATGCAGGCAGTAGATGCCACAGGTGGTGGGAGACCCAAAGAGGCAGAGAAGTCCTTGCAGCCAGGAGGGTCTTCCAGGCACCAGCTGTGGGGTTGGAGCAGCAGTGGCTCCTGAGCTGCACCCTCCATCCCTGCCCTGGCTCTGGGGCAGCTCAGTCCCTGCCCATCCCATACCAAGGTGTGTGGCTTGCTCTGCCACAGAGCCTTGGGTTGGTTGTTTCTCACTGCTGCTCACAGACATCCCAGGGCTCAGACTCTCCTGCTTGGCCAGGCTCATTGTTCCAGATCTTTAAAGCCTCTGGCAGAGGGCTCATCCAGTCCTGCTGCTGGGAAGAGCTTTTGGCAGCAGCTGCTGCTCAGTAGTTCCTGCAGCTGGCACCCAGAGGGAAGAGGTCACTGTCAATTCTCCCTATTCCTTGTGAATTTGTTTCCTCCCTGGTCTTTGGTCACAGGATCCATTCACTGAATGCTCTGTCTCTCCTGCACTGCACGAGAAATTCCCTTAACAAATGTTCCTTGGAGCCCCCTCCCCACCAGCTGTGCAGAGAGCACACAGATGTGCTTTGGGGTTTGAGATCCCACAGACTTTATTTTCTCCTTTGTTTTGCTAATGATCTTCCTATGACTCCATGCTACCAATTAATAATAAAATTGTCAGATATTTCTTTTGCCTTTTTTTTTTTTTTAAGGAATCCAGAGTAGCCACTTTCAAAACTGTTCTTTATGGAACTTCTAATGATTAGAGAAACTGGGGAATTCTTGTTTCTAGCCTCAACTTTATCTTTGACATTGGGTCAAAGTAACCCACTTGTGTGATTGCTGGGTTGTTTTTGTTTTCTTGGACTGAATCCTGGGAAACTGAGTCATCCCCTACCTGACATGATATCCAAGGCTGTTATTTTTGTTGTCTTGAGACATCATTTTCTTAAACCAAGAAGATAAACAAAGACATTCTTTTTTTTAAGGAATGTAAATGCAAATTATTGACACAAATTCTGATTTTTCTTTTCCAGCTCAAGTCTATGATGTAAAACTGTGAGTATAACCCTTTGTCTGGCACACTGATGAGTCCTGGGGGGATGTATCAGAGCAGAATAAAAAGCACTGCTCTTAGCTCTCATAATGAAAACCCCCTTAAGCAGTCTGGGTGAAGAGGTTCACAGCACAACAGCACATTGTAGGATGGCTTGTGGGCTTTCCACAGCAACAAAGAATGGGGGAAGAAAGATCTTTTTCCTGGCAATATCAGAATTGTAGAAGTGAGCAAGAGCTGCTTATTGACTCCTAAGCCCAGGGAGGGCTACTGAAGATGATTGCCAAGGCTAAATTCTCTGTTTTTTTCCAAGGCTAAATTCCCAGTGTTTTTTCAAATGCAAAGGAAAGGAACTCCCCTTCTAGAAACCACTGGTTATATTCTGATTTATCCTGAAAACATCCCTGGCTGAATTTGCTACTTTTAACCATAGCTAGGAAGGAAGTTATAGCTCTTTCTAAACTCAGGTTTCACATCCTGATCTACTTGTAACCTGTGGAAGTTTTACTGAAAAGCTTGACAATCTGGCCAAATTATACAAGGAGAACCACTTCTCTAGGTACAAAGTGCTGCTGACTTGAGTATTACAGTGGGATGTGCCAGCATCCCCGTGCTGGGTTTCCCTAGCAATGCATAAGGCAGCAGTTTAAGTAACATTTGAACCCTGAGCAATGGAACAAACACTGTGATGACATTTCTCCTCAGAGGATCTCTCTTCATTTAAAAAATATTAGATGCCATAAGCCAGACAGTGGATGTGGGCTGTTTTCAGTTCTTAATTTATACTTCCTCCAATATTTTTTATATTTATTTCTCTTCGGCAATTATCTGATTGTGCAAGAAATGGTGGTAATCCTTTCATTGCTTGCACACCCTTTGCTGCCTCTCCCTGGAAACTTTCTCATGGTTGGAAGCAATGCTGCTACAATGCCCAAGGTTTTCCTGCCACCAGAAAGCAAAGGAAAAAATTCTCTCCTTCAGAAGATTTCCATAGCCCAGTGGCCCAAGTTTACATGGGCTTGAGTCAGACCATAATAATGTCAAAATCCTGATGGTTGGAGATGCTTTGTTTACTCTGGTTGCTATTCTTTTTGCTTTTTGATTTCAGCCACAACTTGAGAGCAGCAGCTTCTTCAAGCACAGGTCACTATGAGGAACCCGTCTCTGCCACTGAAAACAGCTATGTGATGGAGCTTGGGGAAAACAAAGTCTCTCAAGAAGTAAATAAGAATGTGTCTGGCTGTGTTGCAAATCCCCAGGAATCTGAGTATGAAGTAGGGGACACTTCCTGAGAACCAACAATGCTCTGCAGATACCAGTCCTGAGGAGCACCTTCACCCAGACAAAATACATATTTATTTTCCCTTTTGCCCCTGATAAATAGGTTGGACAAGCAGTGGTTGCTCTCCTTTCACAGTCCCTGCAGTGAAAATGCAGGAACTTCAGTTATAGACTGCTGTATAGAATTTCTGATTTTGTTTTCCTCAATTCCCTTTCACCACCTCTATCCAAGAAAGCCCTTTGAATGCTGCAGCAGGCAGGTCCCAGGCTAGGAGCACTGTACTGAATTTACTGCTGTATCTGGCCAAAAAAACCAGTGTTTCCAGCCTTTGTGTGGTGGGAGGAGAGCCAGCACTGAGGGCTGCTCAGCATCCCCCTCCCCGTGGGTGAGCAGGGCAGGATGTGGCTGGCTTGGGAATCAATGGCTCTTCTCCTACCCACCTGATGCTGCACAGATTTAATAGGAGAGAGATTTTATAGAAACACTGGAAGGCAGATTAAAGCCAAGAGGAACTCAGGAGCCTGCCACACCAGGAGAAGCAGTGCAGGAAGCAGGAATGTCCCCTGCTGTCCTTGTGCTGCCCTTGATTCCCCTCCACAGCACTGCAGCGAGGTCTGGGCACACTGGCCACAGCTCTGGCTGCTTCTGGTACTGCAACCAGGCACTTTCTTTCTGAGCTCGTGTTTTCTGCTCTCTCTTTAAATGCATGATGGCTGTTTGAAAGGAATTAGGTACTTTTCCATAAGTTTGGGGTAGGATTGCTTACACGTGCCTCACGTGTTTTGCTGTGTGCATTTCTGCACAACCGGCTCATTTTGGAATGCCAGCATGCCACTCACAGCCAGTGGGAGGAGAGCCAGCACTGAGGGCTGCTCAGCATCCCCCTCCCCGTGGGTGAGCAGGGCAGGATGTGGCTGGCTTGGGAATCAATGGCTCTTCTCCTACCCACCTGATGCTGCACAGATTTAATAGGAGAGAGATTTTATAGGAACACTGGAAGGCAAATTAAAGCCAAGAGGAACTCAGGAGCCTGCCACACCAGGAGAAGCAGTGCAGGAAGCAGGAATGTCCCCTGCTGTCCTTGTGCTGCCCTTGATTCCCCTCCACAGCACTGCAGCGAGGTCTGGGCACACTGGCCACAGCTCTGGCTGCTTCTGGTACTGCAACCAGGCACTTTCTTTCTGAGCTCGTGTTTTCTGCTCTCTCTTTAAATGCATGATGGCTGTTTGAAAGGAATTAGGTACTTTTCCATAAGTTTGGGGTAGGATTGCTTACACGTGCCTCACGTGTTTTGCTGTGTGCATTTCTGCACAACTGGCTCATTTTGGAATGCCAGCATAGCCCCTCACTAGATACTCAAGAAGTACTTTCCTTCCACCTTAGGAACCCTGAAGGGGTAAATTATGAATAATTTCTACTGCTCTGAGTAAATCTATTATGCAGAGTTATGGAGGAACCTTTTTATAATGAGCAGGGCAATCCTCTGTGTCCCATTAAAGGCCATGCAAGCAGTTGTAAAACAGAGGGGGTGACCCAAGGGATGAGCAAAACAGTGGTAACAGGCACAGGATTAATGGGCCCCCAGCTGTGCATCTGCAGGCCTCTGAGCATCAGTTCAAAACTCACCAGAATTCAAAGGGAATGTGAGGTGCTAATGGAAAGGTATTCCAGTCAAAAACCAGGATTGTGGTACTGTGAAGCCCATGGAATGTCACTACCTTACGTGTGCATGTTGGCCTCATCTTGGGTTTAGCAGAGCAAGAAAAGTTACTGAGAATGATTGCAAAGAATAATTATTGGTACAAAAACACATCTGTGCAAAACAGTCTCAGAAAAAAGAGAAGAAGCAAATAAGCGAAGTGTGCCTGTGGGGGTCAGAGCTGAGAAGGTGAAGGGGTTACAGCTTGTTTACAGCTTCTCTGAAAAGGATGCAGAAATAGTGATAATTATCTGGTAGCACTTTCAAAGGGCAAGGAAAAGTACTTCTTTGTATGTAACACAGAAATAAATGTGGAACACAGTGCTGCTCACCCAGGGCTGACAGCCAGAGGTCTAATGGGAAATTAGAGGAATTAATGATTTGAAAGTTCATCAGAATGCACAAACTACCAGGCACACTCTCCAGGCACTTATCACTGACCTTATACTTTCTCCTGTGCTACAAGTTATATTTCTCTTTGTTAAGAATGTACTTAAAAATCAAGGGCCGGGACATCTTGATATCTGAATGAAAAGGGAATGCATGGCAGCTACTGGTGCTGTCATGGAGAAAACTGCCAACATGTACATGCAGCTTATTGCAGATGTGGAGAAAATAGGTGTGAGTGTGTGTTCTGCATGTGTGAGGTCAGAGGGGGTGGGAAGGAAATGTGGCAGGTGCTGGAGCACAGACCATCCATCTGATGCTGATCCCATCCTGACTGCTGTGGCCTCTGAAGGGGGGGTATGGCCACCTGGAATGACCTGCAGGGCTCTTCATCTGAGGGGTCTGACGTGGCCAGAGCTCCAGCCAGAGGAGCAGGGAGCACTGAGGGAAGGCAGAGATCCAGAGATGAAGGGTGTTCCACTGAGGAACAGGGTGGTCAGTCATACTGGGTCTGAGCTCTCACTGCTGAAACCCCATGAGTAAGGGCTGCAAGGAATCCCACAGCTTGCCCCAAAATCACTCAATTCCAGCTGCACTGCAAAGCCACAGGCAATGCAGCCCCCCCAACGTGGTTAAACAGCAATGTTATCCTGGCTGGACAGCCAGCACCAGGAGCTGATGATATTAAATACAGCTGTTGTAAGGCAAGCTCATTAAACTGAAAATAAATCCATGAACTGTGGCCTCCATGTGTTTTGTGTGTGCATGCACTGGGGGACAGCTGGACAAGGTCCAGGTCCTGACTTGGTCTGGGGTGTACCTGGGCACAAGAGCAGCTGCTGTGCACCTGTGCAGTGGCAGAGGATGAGCTGAAGCCACAGCAGATCATCCCAGACCAACAGATTTGTTGACCAAACCCAGAGCTCAGCCAGCCTCTGCAGAGCACTGGGAGGAGGAGCTGGGCAGCCTGAAAAAAGCCAGCATCAGATGGTGCTGAGACTCCAGAGGGCAGCAGCAGTGCTGTGTGGTGGCTGCAGGTAAGGGACATCTGCACTGCTCTGATGGCTGGGGGTGGCAGCCCACCTGCAGCACCAGGAAAGAAACCAGAAGACATCGTACACATGGGTCACTTTCTTGGAATCAGGAGCTGTTTACAAGGATTTGGCCAAGCTAATAGCAACCCAGAGCTAATGTCATTGACCTGGGAATTCCTGGAAAGGGAAGTGAATTTTTCAGAGAGAGCACTTGTACATCATGTTTCTTCTGTCACACAAGCTTTAAGGGGAAATGCTAATTTGCACTAATTTCTGTTTCTTGAAGTGGAACAAGGTTATGTTTTGATGACTGACTGTATGATTATCTGATGTGACAGAACTGTGGTGTGAATGGCTGGGGGAGATCACACTACCAGCTTCTGAGAGACATCCAAAAAGTACTTAATAAAATACCCTCTGTTGAGTCAGATCCATGAGTTAGCTATGGCTGGACCAAACAAGAAATTCTCAAGTAAAAATTGCTTCTTTTTTGAGTGCATATGGTTGAAAAGGAGTACTATAAGACCTTTCTTCTTAGGTTATCTACTTTTTGGTCATTTGCTAATAGTTGGGTACTGAATTTCACCTCCTTGAATGCTAAGGATCTTATTTATCCCCAGAAAAATGGTAGCAAACTGCTCTGGCCACTGGTAAACTTTGTCAGAAGATGAATGTAAGATGTGGGCTCAGCAGAGCTGCTCCCTATGAACAGGGTCTGAGTGACCATCTGTGCTCAAGTTGGGGGACATGGGGACTTTACTGTGTCACCTGTAGTTAGCCCAAGATAAGTAGCAGAAATGGCAGAACAAAGAGTGCCTGAGCTGTGGTACTTGAAGAAATGTCACTTGAGACAGTTCCTGTCCTGTGTGTGGGAGGAAGGTGGGTACCTGGGGGCACAGGCTGCACCGTGCCTCACCTGCAGCACTGCTTGAGAGAGCAGCAAGTTCAACCCAGAGCAGAGACACTGGAATAAAATACTGCATTTTAACAAACCAGGTATCTAGCCAACATGTCTGAGACATTGAAGGCTTTTTCTTCTCGTGTTCAGATACAAAACTGTGAGGAGTCCTTCCAGTAAGGAAGAAATGGGCTGACTGTGTGACTCAGGGAGCCATGTCTGTTTCCAGGGAGAGAAAGATGTCATGTCCATCACATTTGGGGAACTGCAGTTATTCATGTCTGCTTTAGTTAAATAGCCTTTTTTTTTTTTTTTTTTTTTTTAATCCTGCATAATTAGAGCCTCAGGAAGTCTTGCATGTCCGGTTCAAAAAATAATCCTATCAGCAGTTTTAGCTTGGGTTCTCAACTTCTTTCAGGGCGTGTTCCCCAAAACTCAGCTTCTCTTAAACTGTTTTGTGTAGGAGACTGTTCGTTTGGGACAAGGCTCTACTGCCAGTCATGGATCAGGGTGTGGAAAGGGTTGGGTTTTAATCATCTCTATGAAAGTTCACACATTTGCCTCTTTCAGTGACACAGCTAGCTATTTTTAACAAGTGGTTTTTTGCTTGTTTTCTTGCTTTTAGGCAGGACTCAAACATTGCTAAAATCTTCTTGGGGCAGCATGGGCAGATGGATCCAGGCCATGTGCACTGGTACCCCACTGGCAGCTGCAGCAAAGATGTCAAGAAGAAAAGTCAGCAAAAATGAAGTTTCAATGTCTTACATAGACATGCATTGCAAGAAGGGGTGTGGCTGCCCCCATCCTCTTCCTCAGCAGGATGGCAGCTGGTGGTGGCTCTCAGAACCCTGGATGAATTTGTTACACCACATCTTGCAGCACAACATTTAGCTTTTTGCTCCAGACAAATTTCACCACAGGGATCAGCAGGGTGGAACTTGGAATCACAGTCAGCAAGGGCCCCACGGGTGGGCATGCCTCTACCTGGGACTGAAATGAGATCCACTCAGCACTCATTACCCCACTCACTCTGGGAAAAAGAAGATAATCTCCAGCTCCCATTACCCTAGCAGAGAAGGAATAAGCTGTCACTGACATGGAGCAGCACTTCCAGAGATGGGTTCAGCTGCAAGGTGAATGTTTCAGCCCCAGCAGACAGGTATTTGCTGTGATGGGATGAGGCTGTGGAAAACCATTCCCATCCCAGCTCCAATAGAAAACAGCTCCCTGTCCCTCAGACACATCTGCCTCCTGCTCAAAGATACTGTTTCCCTGGGGCAGCTGTTAGAACCATGTGCTAAGGCATGGCTACTGAATAAACCCCAAAAACCTCCTCTAGTGATTATTAAACCCCTGTAACAGAATTCACTAGGTCAGTAGATTTGCTTTTATACATGTTTCTTATCTTTCTGTAAGTCCTTCTCCTTCTGGTAATAATTAGTAAGCACAGATCAATCCTGTGTATCACACCTAGATAATTCTTGGAAGTACTTTTAAAGATACCCCACAGAGTACACTCAGAATGTCCCCTGGCTGCCAGTCAGAAGTCACCTCCTTGGCAAACAGTGTGTGCTTTCAGAACATGACTTTTGCCCATGAACTGGACTGTTGCAGACATAACGTGATCTGGGAGAGTCTGTGATGCTCAACATGACCTGGCAATGGGCACTTGCAGCTCAGAAAGGCAGCTGGGTCCTGGATGCATCAAGAGAAGTGGATGGGGACAGGGAATGGCACTGGAAAGATCCATACAGCCTTTCTCCTTCCTTCACCCTTCACCTAACTCAGCAGTGAAATGGACTCGTGATGTTTCAGAAAGAGGATCCTAGATGACAAAGGACAGAATAAAAGGAAGTGTTCTTCACTTGCAGTCTAGTCCCAGGAGGCTGGGAGTCTCTTGGGGAAAGGAGGACAGACCTGCACTTCTGGGAGAATGGGAGAAGTTGGGTGGATAGTGCTGTTTGTGATGACTTTCATCAGCTGCAATGGTGAGTAAATGCTTCAATGCATAAGAAAAAAAAATCACAGTACTAAGAAGATAGCAAAAATCTTTTAAATTATAGCATCTTTTTGGTTTTTTTTTTTTTTTTTTTTTAAAATTGAGAAGTCAATTAGGAAATCTTTAGCTTATTATATTAACCACAGAGCCTGAGAATTCATGACAGTCTCCTTTGGCATCAGATACAACGAGGGGCTTTCAAGAGTGCAGCAAATGGGACAGGATTGGGCAAGTCAGCTTCCCTGCCCAAAGGAAGAGCAGAATACAGTTTTTTGGGACCCTTGGCAGTGTCCAGCTCTCAAAACAGTCTTGATGAAGCTGGAACATGCATTCTAAATTTAATAACTCATCCTCATTGTTCTGTTAGCATGGCCCTGGGAAGAAGAAGAGCTGTGAGACCAGGGGCTGGCACATTTGATTCCCCTTGGTCTCTCCTACCTAGTGACTCTCTGGTTACATCAGGAAAGCTGGGACTGGGGCCTTGGCTTCAGTTCCTATTCCCCTGACTGAATATACCCTTTCCTCCGGGCATGTATGACACTGGCAGCAGCAGAGGATAGTTTTGGGAAATAGGAGAAAAGTGCTCTTACACACTGTATACAAAAGCACAGGATTGCTCCTGACATTTAGAAAATTGGGTTGAAATATATTCCCCATTTCTTCATAAAAACCCCCAGCTTTGCAGATTACTGGGATCTGCCTCTCAACCAACTTCTTGTGAGCTAAAGCTGCTGAATATAACCAATGTCTTTCCAGGGAGGGGAAAGGGGAGAAGAATAATGGGTATTGGGAGAGATGAGCCAAGTCAAATGAAATTCAGGTGATTTGCTACTTACAAGAGGCACGTCCCAGAGGAGATGTGGGATCCATGGGCAGGCAGCTGGAGAAATTGGAAGAATGTGTGGAGAAAATCTGCCCACTCTTCTGTGCCTACCTGAATGCTTGGCAGGGTGCTGATCTGGGTCAGGTCTGAAGTTTTCCAAGGCTAAAGCAAAAGGATAGGCTTTGGTCCACCATTCCTATTCCAGGTTCAGTACTGCAGGGAATACCCCTAAATGTTCTTGCCCACAAGGAGACTGTCTGTACCGAGAAAGAATTAAGAACTGGCAAGTTCCCAGAGAGAAACACAATAAAAATAGCCATGAGGTCAAGGCAGATGTTCACTTCCCCATGCTTGATGACGAGGGCTGCCTTAGTGCTGTGGTGTACAGCACATCTGAGACCTGGCCACAAGCTGGCACCTACTGCCCGGTGAGTCCCGTCTCTCCGGAGGACGTTTCCCTCCTCTGCTGCATTCTGATTTCTTCCCTTCCACTGCTGTTCCCCACAGCCTTCCTGGATCTGTCTAGTGTCCACCAGGTCACGGGCACATGGATGGGATCCACCACTGTACCGTGTACCTATGTGCCTTCAGAAGATTTCACACAGCAAACGCTCAGCTGGAGCCTGGAGCGGGACTCCAGCACCTCTACCATCTTCCGGAGGGACGACTCTGGTGACCACATCTTGCTGTCCAAATTCCGAGGCCGAGTCAGCGTCCCAAAGCACAGCCCAGGGGATGCCTCACTCCGCATTCAGAACCTTGAAATACCTGACAGTGGACACTACAGTTGTCAAATCATCTGGAGATCTAGAGATAACAGCTTGATAACAAGAGAGGTGACCACTATAGTTAAAGTTGTCAAAGGTAAATCCAGCAGTAAAGTCCTGCTCTTGTGCAGCCAGGTTAAACCAAAAGAAGGTAGGGGGGAACAAGTGTTGGTGTGAATAGTCTTTCACATCACGCTAGGTTGGGGGTTGAAGCATTTTCTTCCCTTGCTGTGTTGGTTAATCTTCTCAACACACAGAGTTGTAGGAATGGACTGGGGAAGGGAGCCAGTTGGATCTATTGATGGGCCAGTTGAATCGATGATGTCTGAGATAATATCCAGGTCTGGTTCTATGCAGGCAGCCAATATCTCTGTGGTTCTTGCAGCAGGTGGGTGTAGTGTGAGCCAAGTCTGCCTTCTCCCCTTCCCGAGCAATGTGTGCTAGGAAAAACTCTTTCTGCAAGGGGGCCGCCCACCCCAGAGATCAGGAGTTTGTGAAAGGGCAGTGGCAATGGTGGCACAGCTGGTGTAACCTGGATTAACACACAGGGTACGCCTTGCAGAGGAATGTGGGAACCACGGGGGGACACCACTCAACCACAGGTCAGGAAGACAGTAGTGACGTGGAGCACGCAGTGACAGGTGAGTGCCCAGGCCAGGGTCATTCACCTCTATGGCAGGAGAAGACCAAGGCAGGGAGTTTGCTCTTCCACAGCCAGACCAGACACCTATGTTGAATATGAATTGTGTCTTGATTGCTACCCAGAGGGGCAACACCACAGTCTGGCACCCCTACTTTGGAATGTGCCCGATGATGGGAGGGGACAAGAAAATGTTTTCTGTGTCCCTCTGCGACCAGAACTGTTGAGGCTGCAGAGCTTCAGAAGGAGGTTGCCTGGGGCAAGAGACCTGGCACAGGCCTCCACACCTCAGGAAGTTTATGGTGCAGGTGATAGCAAAGCCCACCAGGCCAGCCAGGGAGTCACCATAGGAGAGATAGTGAAGGTGTCCTCTGGAAATCTAGGGAAGTGCCAGCAGGGCAAAGCCAAAGCATTCTCACGCCATACTGTAGCCAGGCATGATGCCTCATATCAGCCACGGCTGCCAGGAACCTGTGGGGCAAAGGACAGGGAGGGGGACATGAGTGCCAAATGCTGCCCCAGGCCTGCTGGCAAGACACATACAGGATAACAGGTGAGTCTAGGTTGGCACAGCAGACCCCATTTTCCTGATGCCCAGTGGGGCTGCAATGCATCCACCATTCTCCACTGACAGATCCAGTTCCAACGACACGGGTCTCCAGGATGGATGCTGCTCCAGTGGGGCCTTTCACAGGCACAGGTGAGTGGAGTCTCATGCTGGAAAACACCAGGTTTGCACTGGCAAGGGCAGGGTGGCAAACATCATCCCAGACCAGCTCCACATCTGGCTGCTGTGCTTGTGGCAGATAGGGCTGCAGGGAACAAACCCTGGCATGCCAAATACGAGGCACTATCCAGGCAGGAGCTGCGCTCCTGATTCCCACCCACATGCCTGTCGGTGGGGGTGTTTGCAGCCTGAAGTTTGCTGTTTGTTTTCACGCAGGGATGCCCCATCCCTGGAAGTGTCCAAGGCCAGGTTAGAAGGCGCTTGGAGCAAGCTGGTTGGTGGAAGGTGTCCCTGCCCACGGCAGGGCGTGGAACGAGATGATCCCTTTAAGGTCCCTTCCAAACTAAACCATCCCGGCATTCTGTGACTGCCGGCAAGTGGCTGCACCCCAAGTGGTCTCGGCCGCTTCTCGGTTAGGCTTGAAAGGCCGTCCAAAGCAGCGGGGGACTGGCGGCTCCCGGGCCGTGTCCCCCGGCCGCGGTGACAGCGCTGTCCCCCGCAGGTTCCCCGCGGCTCGCAGCATCCCTTCTGCTCTACGGGCTGCCGGCCGCGCTGGGCGGCGCCGCGCTGGGCGCGCTGCTGGCGGCGGGGCTGGGCTGCTGGCGGCGGCGGCGGAGGAAGGACGGTGAGCAGCGACAAACCCAGCCGGGGCCGGGCGCTGGGGACAGCCCCGGGAAGAGGGGACGGGTGGGCGGTGGAGGGCCCGGTCGGAGCTGACGGGCGGGAGGGACGGTCCCATCCCCATCGCTCCCATCCCCATCGCTCCCATCCCCGGTTGATCCCTTCCAGAGAGAAGCCTATGGGAGGGTTATTCCCTAAATGTGAGAACACCTAGAAGTTGGGTTTTGTTCTGTGACGCTTATCTTAGATTCTTTTTTTTTTTTTTTTTCCAGAACCTCTCTATGAAGTTGCTTTGTGAGTGCAATTTCTACTTGGGGCATTAAGACCGAGGGCACTGTACTGGTATCTGCTGCTAAAAAGCCTCTTTGCTCAGTGAAAAGCAAAGATTTATTTTCCTTACATGGGGAGGATCTGAACACCTTGGAGTTTAGTTAGCATCATGAGGACTTAACATGTGGTCACAGGAGATAGCCAGACTGTTCTTTAATATGGTAGAAAAACAGAAAGATATTATGGGTGCTTTGCTGTGTCTGTCACATGCCATGGGAAACCTGTTCTCTGTGGGAAATTCTTGCCATTATTTAGCAAAGCAAATGACAGAAATTTTCAACTCTTCATTTAAGTTCCCTCTACACTTGCCTTTCTCTATAAGAAACATGTCTTAGTGCTTGGCCAAGTATTACTTTGCAGAGTTCCTATTAGCATATGATTACACAAACACATCTTCTACCCTGTCCTCATCTCAATCTTCAACACCTTCGGACTGCTTTCCTACTCAGAGACACACCATAGCCATCTGTAGCAATTTTTCCCAGTTATTCCTGGTATTTATTTTCCAAAGGCTGGACTGTCTGCTGGTAAGTTTAGAGTATAACATGATAATGCCATGAGAGTTTATAGTACCAGTATTAACCAGTGCTTCTTATTGTGTAATTCTTTTAGCATCACTTTCAAGTGTCTTTCAGAGCCCCCCAGGCCCTCACTAGGATAGTATGAATTTTGGTGTTCACAGATTATGTGGTAGATCTTGTCTCTAAGGTGTAAATGAAGTGCCATCTGCTTTAGTCATCCCTCTCACTGGTGTCTCTCTGTCCCAGCCGCCGCACTGCAGATATCGCCCTGCTGCACCCTGAGGTGGAAGTCCCTGCTAAGTGCCTACAGGAGGAAACGTGCTCCAGCACTGAAAAGACCACCATGAAAGACAGGAAAAGCCCTGAGTATGAGAACCTTGTGACTGCAATGGAATCTCAATATGAAACAGAAGGAATTTAGTAGAGTACCAGCTCTTCCACATGAGCAGCCATGCAGGGCTGCAGGTACTGAATAGTGAACTCAGCAAAGGGAAACTCTTCCTCCTGTTGTCCCTCTGTTCTGCTCTCACTGCTTGCTTTAACCCAGAGGAACTGCATAACCTTTTGGTCTTTGGCAGACCAGGCCCCGCCTGCGGGAGCAAAAACCCCCTGCCAACTGTGTGTCTACCCACGTCTATAGAGCAAGTTGTTTCTGAGCAACCTGAAGGACCCAGGGCAGGAAGAGAGGATCTGAAGGAGTGACAACATGAAATTATTTAGCCTGTAAATCCAGGAGTAGTTGGTGCAATGCTGGCAGTCAGTAACACTAGCAAGGGATACTCTCCAATGTGTGTTCCTGTTAAGACATCCCAGGCTGCAAGGAACCAGGATTGTGCTGGAAATGGAGATCCTATGGCTTTTCCAGTTCAGCAAATACTGGTTGTACATCCTGCCTGTGCTTGAGTCTTTCTTCTTTTTTTTTTTGTTACAGCATTGTAAAGGGACAACAGAGGGGAGATTGGTGTTCCAGGAATTTTTGCTATCAGACTGGAGCTCAGTGCTCAGAGAGAGAGGGAATGAGTCTCTGAACTGTCACCCACTGGTTTTCTTCTGGAAAACAAGAACAGATGTTGAAGGAAATGCTGGCATTTAATTTTTACAGTTTGGGGGCCAGAGGCATGATAAAATAGAGGGAAATTTGAGGCATTTGGATAATGATTAAGGGACCTCTCTGAATACAACAGGCTGACACCAATTTACTCTGGGGGATGTAAGTCAATCTGTGTGATTACTAATGCTGACCTATTGTACAACATGGATGCAATTCCTGCCTTCAGCTGCAGTGCATTCCCTACAGTACACTGTCACTCAGCAGCCTGATTTGCCTTGTCATTGTTAATTGTTTGCATCTTGCCTGCACTGCAGTGCTGCTGTCCGTTCTGTCCTCTGTCTGTACCTCCAGCCAGCCGCCCTTTGTCCTCCAGGGACTTGGCAGGGAGGAGGAATGCCTCCTGGCTTTAGCAAACCAAATTTGTAAGAATTACTGGCTTTTTTATATCAGTGGGTGCAGCAAGGAAAGCATGGGGAAACTGCTGAGCTCAAGTCACACACACCCTCCTGCATGGCCCTGACTTCGCCCACAAGGCTCATCTCTGCTGCCATGTATCATCTCTTTTTGAGTCAGCAGGGTCATTTTGCTGTTTGTGGCCTAAGTGCTGTGTAGAGCCACACTTTTACCTTTACAGCTCTGAATTGCAGGATGTGAGGTGGGAAAGATCAGAGAAAAAAAAATCTCCTGCCTATATTGTGAGGGCTTCACAAGCACAGTGACAGCCATGCAGGGATGGCTGTGCTGGCTGTCAGATTGTGCTCCAGGGAGGCAAAGTCTGGATCCAGTCTGTCCCTGTGGGACCCATGACAGCCAGTCCTGAAGACCCCATTCTGCAGAAGCTGCTGGCATCAGCAGTTCCAGGGGTGGTGCAGAACAAAGGAGTTGAGGGGAATGGAGAGCTGCAGCCATGCTCACACAGGGCAGTAGCATATCATGCAAGGTCAATGCTGGGTGGGAAGGGAACTGAAAATTTCTCAGCTTCCCCATCCTTACCTCAGCAAACCTAGGCCCAAAACATGTGACATGGCACTCTCCTTCCCCCCACCCCCAAAATAATACTCATTCATTTTCAATTAGCTTGGTATTTTGTGCAAATTTTCCTCCTGTTAAAAGCTCTGAGCTCTAGGTTCACTCATTGACTATGTAACACCATGGTTTTTCCATCTTGTGATTCCTCCCAGCACTGATCTGCTCTGACAAGGTCTGGACACCTTCCTCAGAAGACATGAAGCCTGGGAGAAGCTACAGAGGAAGAAGGCAACAGGAGTTAAGAAAGGGGGAGCAGATGGACCAGCCCCCATGTACTCCATGTTGTCACTCCTCTAGTTAGGGCAGCAACAGGACTTTGGTCACAAGTAGCAGAAGAGTGCAAACATTAGAAGCCTGTCTCCAGTGCTAAGGTGTTTTTCCCTGGATAACAAGTGTGTTATTATTTCTTGATTTTACTTTTAGCATGTTTTTCATGTTTCTAGTAAAACCTGTTGACAACAGAACATTCTTCTTCTGAAACCAGAAAACTTCTCCTTTCCTTGCACTGTGCTCTTCTGCTGAGCTCTGCTCCAGAACGGAAGGAAAAGCTCAGCTTCTGCCCTGAAAGGACACTGCCTCCCAAAAACACACTACCTCAAGTGGCCAGCACAGTGTCATGAGACTCGCAGTTCCCCTTGCAGTGCCATGGAGGGGACCTGTTGGCTTTTGCAGCTGCTGGGTTTGTACCATACTTCAGAGCAGGGAGGTGGGAGATGAAATCCCAGAGAAATTTGTACCACTGTAATTTGATGTTCTTGTAAGAGAGGGAAGGGTTTACTTTCTTCCCCTTGACCCCAGTCATCTGGAAGGATCTGGGAGCTGAAGGGGAGAGTTATCTAAAAAGTAGAGAGCAAACTACTGGAAGCAAAAATTGGAAATGTATGAGAAAACAAGAATGAAGGGCATAAACAAATCGTTGGCCATCTGTGGTGCAAAGGAGGCTGGGTCTGTTGAAACCTCGAGGTTTGAGTGACAGCAGGGCTTGGGGCTGACATGGCTGTGTGCTTTATGGAGCATCCACTGGGGACAAAGCAAAGCCTGAAATCATAGACCTTGCTCTCTTTTGAAGCTGACCTGAGTGATAAAAGTCAGGGTCATGTCTGTGAGTCATGAGGAGGTGCTTGAGAGAGACCATGGGAGTGTGAGTCATAAGGAGCAGGGCCATTTCTGGCCACTTGTGGACCATGTTTGTCCAGAAGTGCACAAGCTAGTCAAAAAGCAGAACACAATTTGCTTAGGCAGTTACATACATTCACGGGTTCCAGCTTAGTACAAACTCCAGCTTCTTTGAAATATTTACTAAGAAATAGTTGCAACAAAAAGCCCAAAAGCTTAGTATTCAAGTTTATTAATACTCTCAAATATTTCCAAATTTGCTGGTGGTACTGTCCTAAAACTAGTCAGTAGAATCTTGGGATTTTTTTTTTTTTTATTTTTGAGTTTTCCATGTCAAATGCTCTCAAAGAGTTTGATTTGTCAAACTGGGCTGGATGCTTCCGCTGTCGTTCCCCTACCCTGACATATCTGAAATGCTACAAGTCAGTTACTGAAAACACTTAGCAATCATTACATCTTCAAGTAATGAAGATGATTTAGAGGGAATTACTTTCATTAAATAGCAGAATAGGCAACCTTGCTGCAAGTGCTCACTAGGAATAACCATGCAAAGACAAGAAGTGTTCTCCAAACAGCAGGGTTCACAGGAGGGGCAATGGACTCCATGGCCTAATTTAAAACAGATTGAGCAAACATGCATTTTTCACAGGCTAATGGGTCAGAGGGACGTTAATGAGCAGCCTCATTAGTTTGTACTCCATATAAGAAAGATTACTACATGTGCAAAGGCAAGATTCTTTATTATGGATAATGCTGCCTTTAGCCATGATGATGTGATTGTAGTTGCAAGGATGCTTGTTATCTGAGCTTAATTTACAGCTGGCTAGTGTAAGAGAACAGCATTGTATTTGGATGCAAACAACAAGGACCTAGGGCTCAATTCCCTGTTTTCACAGTGCAGAGAAGTTGCACCAGCACCACTTCTGCTCTGATTTACTATTGGAAGGGGTACCCCAACAGATACTTCCAAAACCGGGGTGGAAGGGAAAGCTGGCAGCACAGGATCAGTCAGGTGCTCTGGAACAATGGGATGGGTTGCTCAGTACCTCGCTGGGTTTCTGGAGAGGAAGGCTCCTGCCAGAGCAGGAGGAAAGGGCTGCACCCTCGGCGTCGCGTTGCTCAGCAGTGCCTCACTTGGGGTATTTGACAAACTGACACTCTGCACACTGAGTGTCGGACTCAGCTTGTCAAATACACGCAGTGCCACACTGCAGCTCCCGGGGTCACAGTGGCCTCGCCGGATACCAGCCTGGGCACACAGAGGGAAAAGAAGCACAGCAGCTGTTGTTAACTTCACAGGCTTTTTCCAGTTAGCAAAAAGCATCATTTGTCCTCCCATATTTCCCCCTCCTACATTCTTTTTGGGATGAGAGAGAACCACACCAGCAGACACTGCCTTCTGCTGAGGAAAATATCCACTCTATTAATTCAAAAGTCAGAAAAAGAAGTACAACTGTGCCCCTGGGCATACAGATAGGGGTTCATCACTGACTCTGTTGGAGGCTCCTCTATTTGGGCAGACTACTGTAAAGATTATGATGCTGAAAGAAAACCAAGCTCCACAATGGGAAACAATGAATTTCTTCAGAAGTGAAGTGAAACTTTCTCTTCCGTTGACAAACTAACCCCCTTCTGCTTAATTTCTAACAAACACAGAAAACCTTTCCTGCAATAAGTGGAGCTTTCCACCTCCAAACGCTGGCATAATCCAGCCTTTAAAGGTGAACATCATATTCACACACACTTTGCACAAATACAAAATTTACTGTTATTCCCATGTTCTTTTAACAAGAGTGTGCAGGAAATGCAGACATGCACCTAAAGAAAACTAAATAAAAAAACATACACAAGAGAATATGTTGCACAGTATTACTCTGTTCTGTGTCCTTCTCAGATATTGACTGTTTAGAAAATCAAACAAAATTCTAGAAACAGATTTGAAATTCTGATACTGTACAACTCTCCCAGAAAAATCCGTAATACTGGCTCCTAAGTCACACACCTATTCGGCACCACACTGTTTATGTCATTCATTGTCTTTGTGGACATGTCCAGATATAGTTGAGTTTTTATCATGGTGTTTTAGCTTCCTTGCCAGTCCACAGATTTTAATTTCACATGACCAGCATCACCAGTTTGTGAGAAAATAGTTATGCTATTTTTAGTATCAAAATAAAGACTGAAATGTTTGCAATTATATTTTTAAGGTAGACCATTAAAATTCTACTAAAGTAGAATTAGATTAAGTATATTAACAATATCATACAGTGGGCAATTCATCAACCATTTCTGCCTCTAACTTCTGTGACTGTTTTACACAGATGATCATAGCATTCCATCTAATATCACATACAGAAACATACCTGGAAAGAAAAAGGTTTTTTCAGGTGAAAGCATAGCAAATACATGTTCTCCAAAACCAGAAGAGAGTGGAGTAAGACTTACAAGCAAGAAAACAGCTACAGCTTTAAAGGTAAAATCTGTTTCTAGACTGAGTCACTACCAGGCTTTGCAATTCTGGCATTCCCCTGTCTCTACCTTCGCCTTGGGTGCAATGTAGATAGTGACCAGTTCTGTGCTCTGCCTCCTCATTCCAAATGCAGTTCAGCCATGGCAGATAAAACTATGTGGCAATGGATAAAATCAGCATATGCACTTCATGAAGATAAGAAAACTATGTTAATGAGCTGATTTAAGATCAGCCTACTGAAGTACATGTGAACCTGTGATTCCCCAAAGGACTCTGAGCCATACCAAAATGTGGGGAAGCCACTAGAGAAAGACTAAGCAGGCTCTTCCACAGTTACCAGAGAGCAGATTGCCTTCAGCTTCAGTGCAGATGTCTAACTGGGGCAGATCTGGCCTTGGAGGGGGAAGAAGAGAACAAGGCAGCACTGCTTCTGCAATTGAAGCTTAAAATAATCCCCCATTGTGGCTTTCTGAGGGGAAAAACAGCCGCTTAAAATGTTGCTGTGAGGGACAGATAAGGGGTGGGGACACAATGGAGATAATGCTATCAGCAGATGGGAATGGAACTTGAAACTCCACCCATAGAGATCATATCTGATGTGAATAGATTTGTCATTGTCAGAGCTTCTGGTTTCAAGCTAAAGTGGGTATTCCCAAGTAAAAGCTCAGTGTTATAAAACTGGGCAATCTACTGCATACTCTGAAGGCCAAACAGAAAGAATTTTTCTTCCTGCATTCTTAAGTCAGTCCCTTACCAAATTCACAAAAAGTCCCCTCTGGGCTGCACATCATCGCTCAGGTATTTTTACAGGGCTGTCAGACTGTTCTGCAACTTGTCATGAAAATAAATGAAAAGTAAGATTATTGGAGAGATTCAACTCTAAACCTAATAACAGCATGCATGGAAGTGTGGCTGTGTGGTTTTCACATGCTGAGTAGCAGAGCCCTAGGATGCAGGCTGCAGCCATTTCAAGGCATGCCTTTATTTTGCAGGATTGGAACTGGAATCAAGGTCATCTCTGTTCTCCATTTGGTGAAACACAAATCACAGCCTGAATTGAAAGCAAGAGTCCCTAGAGATCTGTGGCAACAGGGTCTGCTGCACCCCTGGCCAGCTGAAACCTTGGCTTGTGCTTCTCCTAGGAGGTGGAAGCCTTTGTCATTAACAGAGACAAATAAGGCTTTGCTCATGGCAGACTTCCACTGCATGCTGTCCTGCTCCATATATGACCTTCCTATGCCCCCAGCCCTGCAGTGGACACTGCAAGGAGCTTTGCCAGACAAATGCTGGTTCACTTCAAAGCCCCCAGGAAGGGCCTGATAATGCCCCCATTACCTTCAGGTCACCCTCACATGCTCCCACAGCCCTCACACTGCCCTGAGCCCATCAGCCCCTGTCTGTGCACATTGGACTCTGTCCCCATCCCCAGACATCCGAAGTGGGGAAGAGGGTATGTGCAGTAAACTTTCATCTGCTCTACTGAAACCATGGGGACAGCGAGAAATGGAGCTGAAGAGCAGAGACTTGCACACAGCTGGAACAGGGTTTCTCCCTGGTTAGACCCTCCTCCATCCCACACCCTCCCCTGCTCATTGTGAGCTGCCTCATCTATGACTAATTTAGATCAAAATCTCCCGCTGCCAGCAGCTCCCAGGCAGCATGTGTGTGTCTGTGAGCTGAGGGAACATGCACACCTGTACCCTGCTGCTGAATAAGGCTACATATCACTGCTAATCATAATTTATCTTCATCAAGGAACCATGGTCCAGGGTGCGTGCTTCGTGGCTGGGACCAGTGGCATTCCATCCCGGAGCCTGCCCTCCCCAAGCACACCCAGCCAAATGCTCCCTCATCCCTGAAAGAAGCCACCAAAAAGCCCCTCTGGTTTAGGCAGACACAGCCCCAGCACCGAAGGGAAGCAGCCCAAACCCAAGCAGGATTAAGACCCCTCGAAGTTCGAGGTGTAACATGGGGCGGGAGGACAGCTTTCTTCACTGCCAGGAACAGGGACACCCCACATCTTTCTGCGTCCCAACACCCACAGGCCTTTGGGATGAACCCCAAAGGACACATTCTCCCCTGTCCCCAGCCCCCCTTCCACGGGCAGGACGGGGACCTGGCACCTACCATGGTGGGGCTGTCCAGAGCCGCGGCAGGCCGGGCCGGCAGCGCGGGGCCGTGGCGGGGGTCGTGCAGGAGCGCGGTGGGAGCTCAGCCCGGGCACACAGCTCGGTTTTGAAGGGGCTGCTCCTCCTTCAAGAGGAAGCTGCGAATGGGGAAGATAAGGCTGAGGTAAGATAACAGGAAATGTCTGGATGTGAGTGACAACACATCCAGGTTGTGAAAGCAGCTCCCCCCATCCTGCACGAGGCTCACGAGCGGGGTGAGGGCGAGTGCCTCGGCCTTTGGCCAGTGCAGGCTCTGTGTGACCCCTCAGGGGCCGGGCACACAGGGCCTGCAGCACACAGCCACCGGCAGCACAGGGAAGGACACCTCATTGCCACAATGATTGTCCCCAGTCCGGCCACCTCCATCTCACAGTGGTCAGGCTCCGCTGCCCTGGCTGCTGAGGAGCCATGCAGGAGGCTATGAAGGCACAAACAGCCAGAAGGGCTCTGGTTTGGGACACAGGCTCATGCCCAGGAGTGCATCTCTTACCCTGAGGAGTCTGAGTGAGGTGCAGAGAAGCAGAGTTCTGTTCTCAAGGCTCCAGCCATTGCACGAGGTTTTGTTCCAAAAGCTGCCCCGCAAGGCTCACCTCGCTTTTGAACTCATGGCCATGCCTCAGCTCTTCTGTTCCCTTCCACTCACACGAGCAGACAGGATTGGCTTTCTCAGTTCCAGCACCCAACCAAGAAGCTGGCCCTGCCTCCATGCCCCTGCCGGTCCCTCCACACACCCTCTGGTGTCCACTGAGGTCCCTGTCCCCGTCTCTGGAGCATCCACAATGCCTGCACAGAAAAGTAAACACCAGTGGATAGTTCAGACTGTAACCAAAGCAAGTCCCAGAGTTTCTCCTCTCCTGTACCACCCTCAGTATGAGGCAGTCTCAGGTGGCACCTAGAATCAGTACTGTTGTCATCCAGCCTGGCCAGAACCCCAGCTGGCCAGCACAGCTGTGGGGACAGAGACAGCAAGCTGCATTTGCCCAGGCCAGCAGCACAGGCTGGCCACGCAAGACCAAAATGACTTCAAGGAAACCCAGGAATTTTAGAGGCATTCCTCATCTTTCTAGGCCAGTATGATACAGTATATTTTGTAAAGCCAGGATTCATTAAAAATCTATTGTTCTGTGTCTGCACCATCCCAGGTATGTTTGCCATCAGCTAGGCCTGATGGAGTGATGGACAATTGAGGGATATCCCTCTTGCAGGATTAGTTTTCCCACTCCCAGCATTCAGCTGCAGCCCTTCCTTTCCAGTTCTACCTCCCCACTGTTGTCTGGCTCTTCAACCAAACCCCACAGACACCGCCCAGTGCTGGTGTCTGGGGCCTGCCTTAGTCCAGCAGCTTTCAGTTACATTATCAGTGTGCCAGGACTGCAACCACAGACTTTATGTTTCTGCAGCTCTGGCCAAACCCCTAATCTGGAAAGCACTTATTTATGCCTCCAAATAACTGAGCCCCCTGGGAGCATGCTCAAGCTACTCTGAGACTCTGTGAAGACATAGTAAGACCAGCCAGCCTGCCAACAGTCAAACCCATTCCCTGTGCCTGAGGAAAAGTCAGATAATGAGGAATACAGTTACTGTCCAGTTCCTCTTTCATTTGCCTGTGTTTTAAAATATACAGTAAAAGAGGAATGGACAGGTCTGGGTGGTTTTGATCTGTTTTTACTTTGGTTTTAACTGGCTGCAAGGAGTAGGGCTGTTCATGCAGTCTATGTAGGTTTTTTTATGCAAGCCAGCATGAGCTTCAGTCCATGAAGGTTTTCTAGCCAACATGCCACCAGAAACCTGAGACTCATCAGCTGGGGCAGTGGGAGATCAAGCATCTTTCCCCAGAGAGGACACTGCTTTGCCTGCACCTGACCCCAGCCCAGTCCTATGGGCCTACAGTAACATCCAAGGTGGAAGGCTTTCAGGGAAGCTGATTTCCTCTATACTTTGCAGATGTCACCACACTGCCCTACTCTGTGCAACAACCTTGAAATCACACTCAGCATTTCCCAATGAAGGGACTGTTTTCAGTGCACTTGCAGTGTACACAGCTCTGTAGCTTGCTCTGGGAAGAGGAAGAAAGGAGGTAGAGAAGCTGTGGGCATCACAGACTGCCATCAAATAATGTTTCAGAGGCTTCTGCATACTGCTTCCCAAATTTTCTTGGAAAATCACTTGAAAAAAAGTGATTTGCATCCATTTGATTAGCATGCAGCAAATTCTCTCACACTGCAGTCTCAAATTCTTGTACTTTTTACCTGCCATAAAGTAGGACATGAAGGATCAGCAGGTTTGTACTGGACATGGAAAAACTGGGACTCATTTAATACCTATGCTGCTCTGTGCAGATCAATCCACACAGACAGGAAAGAAAAAAGAACATGGAACTCTTGGAGCAAGTGCAGAGCAGATCCACAAAGTTGATAAGAGGACTGGAGCACCTCTCCAGCAAAGACAGGGAAAAGAGTTGAGGCTGTTCAGCCTGGAGAAGAGAAGGATTGTGAAGACCTTATAGCAACTTCAGTATTTGAAGGAACTACAGATACTGGAAGCTGGAAAGGGACTCTTCATCTGGAACTGTAGTGACAGGACAAGGAGTAATGGGTGCAAACTGAAAGAGGAAATTTAGGCTGGATATTAGGAAGAAATTATTTACTGTAAACGTGGGGAGATACTGGAACAAATTGCCCAGGGAAGTTGTGAAAGGCCCAACCCTGTCACAGTTCAAGGCCAGGCTGGATAAGGCCTTGAGCAAGGTGGTCTAACGCTCATGGCAGGGGGAGCTGGGACTAGATGATCTTTAAGGTTCCTTCCAACACTTAACTTTTTGTGTTTCTGTGATCCAAACTGACTTGACCAAGGCTAGGTGATTGCAGAATCTGGCCCTTGGTCAGCAAGCGTTCACAGCACACAGAACTAAGTCCATCAGTTTTGAAGCCACAACATGAAGGGATGGAAAGATAAATTATTCATACATCAAATTCAAAAATACCAAATCATTCTTCTGAAGTTTCTCCTCCTAGGTGAAGAATACTATTATTTACTCCTGCATTGGCTAACTGTTCAAATTGTTTTCCTTCATCCTTAGTTCTTGGAGAGCTTTCAGACTAAATCTCAGAGAGCCAATTGCTACCAGACTTTCTCCTGAGCTATCTGTGAGAACAGCAGGCACTGCCTTGCCCTGCAGTGAGGTGTTAATGACCCAGGGTCTAACAAAGCCAGCAGTGACCCCTCCAGCAGTCAGCTCCAACAAAGCCAGCAGTGACCTTTCCACCAGTCAGCTATAACACCACCTTTTTCAGTTTGTCCAGATGTGGGTGAGCTTTGACACTTCCCAGCATTACAGGTTCTGCCTGGGAGAAGCTGTGAGGCCCAGTGAGAGCCCAGCATGAACGCACACGGGGGAAAGGGTGAAAAGAAGGGTGTTTATGTGAACGACCATAGCGACCATGTATGTGAGTGAGGTGAGGAAGAAAGGGGAGACCAGGAGCAGCCCTGAGCTGCCACTGCAGCACTTCCCTGTGGAAGCACTCATGGTGCTGGATTCTCCAGGGAGCTAGATGGGGTGAGTGTTTCCACAGTTCCTTTCCTCCAGAACATGGCTGATTATGACAGCTTAGTTCCAGGCACTAAAACAACTTGCAATGATGCAGGAAAATATCACAACGATTCCTTGAAGTCCAAGCTGTGCATGATGGAGGAACTCACTTGGGAGATCTTTAATCCCTACATCAGGGCAGGGATCTCTTCAGCCAACAAGGTTAGAGACATTTCATCTTCACCATCAGCCTACCTCTAGGAACAAGACTTCTCAACTGCCACAGCTTGTCAGCAAAACTCACTTAGCTCAACCCTGCCTCACTGGCCAGCCTGAGCTTTGAGTTGTGTGAACATCTTGTTCCCATTTCCATTCTTCACCTCGTTCAGAAAGAAAAACAAGTCAACACACCACATGGACCTCCAAGTTTTGCTGTCAGTGCCATCCTCCCTTCCTGCCCTCTTTTCTGGCAGGTGCACAGCAACAAGAGTCAGAGGCTGGGCTCCAGCAAACAGCGGATATTTCTGTTCATGGCTGATTATGTGTTTGGCACATTTGTTTTAGACCTCTGGTTAAGGGGGGGAAAAATGAGAAAGAGAGACACAGAGAGAGGAAAAAAAAAAAAGGCAGACACCAACCAAGAGGTTCAAAGCTGGTTTTCAGATGGACAGTGAGAGATAAGAAAACCCCACTAACTGTCACAGCTACTGAATGACCCAAAAGACATCCTGTACCTCATACACAGTTAAGAATAGCATTCAGGGAACAGTAGTAGTGTTGATATTTACTCCTAAAGATGTAGCAAAATAGAACCAGCCAGAGGTCAAGTAAGTTCAGGTAGCTTCAATTCATTCTTATTTAATGAGTACACTTGGATTTTGATATGAGTGGAAGAAAACCAGACTTCCTTTTTTTCCCCAGGTCTGGCATACCTGTTCAGTTGAGACCAGTTCTCTGTTCATATGTGCTAAATAACCTTGTCTAGAGATTTTGCTTCAAAATAAAGTTGTATTGCAGCCACCTTAATTCCTTAATTTCCTTAATTCTAATGCATCATCCAATAATAAAGCTACATTTTCCATATTTGCTCCATCAAAGGACTATCTTTTTTCTTGCAGTAATCTTATTACAAAGAGTAAAGTCTTACTCTAGTTCTGAAAGATTGACAGACTTTATCTCTTAAAGAAATCATGAGCTATGGAGCTGCTTTATTCACTGCTAGTATCAATACAGTTACTTCTGAGAACAGAATCCAACCTCAGAATTCTAAAAAAACAATAGTGGATTCATTTATGTATGGGGTTTTTTCATAAAAAAAAATTAACAAGCATTTAAGTTGTCAAAGACAGGATTGTGCCAATTCTTTTTCACAGACAATGAAGGCAGAGAGCAACTGTGCTTCTGACACTCACCACTGAACATGCAGTAACTAAATTTGTTTTTGTCTGCATATTACTTTCAGAAACCACACATCAGTCAAGTTTCTCTGCTGCCACTTTCTGGAGATTCTACCAAATGAATATCCTGGGTACAAAGCACTGGTGATGGCTAC